GAGCCCCTTTAGCTTAGTTGGCAGAGCGTACGCTTCGTAAGCGTAAGGTCGCGTGTTCGAACCACGCAGGGGGCACCTTGACATGTCTTTTTGGAGTTTACCAACTTTTGGCACAACACCCGTTTGATCGACATTTTGTTGCCCCAAGAATGTCAACCGTGCCAAAAGTTGACAGAATATTTCCTTTGATCTTGCTCGGATCACACAAAACATGGTGAGGAAGCGCCTCACCCCCTCCAAAAGTCGGGCCCCGAAAAGGGATTTGATCCGCTTCAGGTCCTAGAGAAGTGTCCAGAGCTCGACGCTTTTGTTAAATCAAATCTACACAAACACCGAGGAGATCCCCGAGCCCGAGTTGCGGGTCTCCTGGGCGAAGTTCTCCGCCGTGACATCCTTGTGAACATGGTCAGGATGGCGCCCCGCCGGGTGTTTCCGGCTGTCGCCGCGTTGCTTCTTGTGATCCTCTGCATCTCCCCCTCCTCCTCTGCTGCGACCCTCCTCGGCGGGCGCGGCCAGCTGAGCCGCGTCCCCGTGGGTGGCCGCGGTCTCGTCCTGACGGCCCGCGCGGAGGAGCGGCGCTTCGGCAAGGCCGCGCCCGTCGAGGAGGACCGGAGCTGGTTCGGAGGAAGGTCCGCGAAGACGGCCTCGAACGGCGAAAAGAAGGCCTCGAAAGAGAAGTCTGGTTCTGCTGTTGGTGGCGCTGCCGGGAACGTCGGCGCCGCGGTCTGCGGGGCCGCCTCGGCCTGCCGCGGGGCGGTCGTCAGTAGCTGCTGCGTCGCCGCAGGCGCCCTCTCCACTGCAGGCGGGGCGGTCGCCTCCGTCGCGGGCCCCATCCCGGGGCTGGTCGTGAACGGTTCAGGGGCCATCATCGGCGCAGCCGGCGCCGTGGTCGTGAACGGTTCCGTGGCCATAATTGGCGCAGCCGGCGCCGGGGGCTCGCTCCTCCTCCAAACCGCGCGCAGTTCGGGAGAGGCCATTGTCAAGGCCACCGGTCCAATCGTGGGTCTGGTCACCGACGGGACCGCGGCCGTGCTCGGCGCTGGGAAGGGGCTGCTGGGCGCCACCGGGAGCGTGCTCGGCGACGTAGCGGGCAAGATCAACATCGGCGGGGCGGGCGACGCGGCAGGGAAGGCTGTGCGGGGCGCGTTCAAGGACCTCGAGGCGACGTGCAAAGCACACCCCAAGGTCAGCATCCATCCTTCGCTGCTGTGCCACGATGGGTATGGAGGGGGGTTGCTCCTTCGCTCTGTGGTCCCTCCGGGTGTTGCACGGCCTGAGTCGTTCGTTGATTCCGAAGGGGCGGGTTCAGGGTTTCGGGTTTCGGGTTCAGGGTTTCGGGTTCAGGGTTTCGGGTTTTAGGTTTAGGGCTTAGGGTTTAGGGTATAGGGTTTAGGGTTTAGGATTTAGGATTTAGGGTTTAGGGTTTAGGGTTTAGGGTTTAGGGTTTAGGGTTTAGGGTTTAGGGTTTAGGGTTTAAGGTTTAGGGCGTGGAGGGTTTAGGGTTTAGGGTTTAGGGTTTAGGGTATAGGATTTAGGGTTTAGGGTTTAGGGTTTAGGGCGTGGCATCAGTCAGGGGAAAATGCGTCCGGTGACTTCGCCCAACCATTCTTCTTTCTTGTTCTTTCTTACTCTCGAAACAGGTCCTAGATAGGCCCTTAAGCCTTGCCGAACCTAGCTGTCGCGGCTTGTATGGACGCCCCCACCAGGACAACACGACGGAAACGAACTCGGGAAGGCCACTTGTGAGCTCGAAACAACCTGTTCGTGAGAACGAAGCCTTACAGTAGCATAAATCAGGACAGATTCTGGTATGTTCCGAGATGAAACCGGACGGCGGAAATGAACTCGGGAAGGGCACTGCGGAGCCCTGTTGGAAGGACGGGAGTGCCCTCCGACCGCTCCACGGACGCGGGCGTGTTCTCACCCCTCACCGACCAACTCCTAACCCTCAGCCCTAAATCCTCAACCCTCAACCCTCAACCCTAAAATCTAATCCCTAAACCCTAAGCCTCAAACCTTAAACCCCCAACCCCCAACCCCAATCCCCAAACCCCACACCCCAAACCCCAAAACCCTAAACCCTAAACCCCAACCCCTAACCCCCAACCCCCAAACCCGAACCCCCAAACCCGAAACCCTCAACAGCCCGTACATGGATCATCAATAAACTCTGAACCGCTAACCCCGCACCAGGAGGCAGTAAGCCTGGCAATCCGGAATATCGAGCTCTCGATCCGGCTCAACAAGCACTCCACACACTAACCCCCAAACCATAAGTCGCGAACGCTACCATCCAGGAGGCGGCAGCAGTAGGCCTGGCAGTGCCGACCATCGAACTAAACCCGCAATAAACCGTAAATCAATGAACCGTAAAACCCTCTAAACCAACAACCCGTACATCGACAATCAGCAAACCCTGAACCCCAAGCCCTAACCACGTACCAGGAGGCGGCAGCAGTCGGCCTAGCAGTTCTAACCATCGAAGTTTTGATGCTGCTCACACAGACCCCCAAACCCTAAGCCGTGAACCCTGAAATTCAGGAGGCGGCAGCAGTAGGCCTGGCAGTGCTGACAGTCGAGGTTTCGATGCTGCTCAAGAAGGCGCTCGAGGCGAAAAAGGCTGTCAAGGAGGATCCCTCCTTCACCGCGGAGTTCGTCTCCAACGTTGAGGTGAGGAACCCCGAGCTCTGCCTGGTCATAAAATACATTTAGACGTCTAAATGTTTTTAATTTGTACTGCAGCGCATGTTGTAAAACTAATAATGACGACACCAGATTACCTGGAACAGAGCGAGAACCCCGGGGCGTGCGTCGCCCGAATGGCGGCGATTTCATCCGGTCAGATATTTAAATTAAATGCTCGGGAATTCCCAAAATGTACGAAAGTTACTACACATGATCTTTCGGACACGACTCTTTTGTCGCTTGTGTAGTAATTTTCGTTGTGTGGGGAACTCCGCCGAGAATTTCAATTAAATACCTGACAGGATGAGATTACAGGTGCACCTCGCTCATAAGAAAGTGCCCCCCCCCCCCCAGGACTGCCATGGGGCCCTAGACATAGTCCTACTGTAGGGTCCTACGAGGAGTCAGTTTCTTATGAGCGAGGTACCCCTGTATGGCTGCGATGAGGACCCTGCACTTTGCCCCCCCCCCCCCGCAGTGCCCACATCTAAATCTCCCTGGTACAACCCAAAACCGTGCGTTCACATACACTCTGCACGGAACAGGAACATGGGTTCCCACCTTCTTCTTCATCTTCTTCTTCTTCTCCTTCTTCTTTATTATTATTATTATTATTATTATTATTATTATTCTTATTCTTATTCTTCTTCTTCTTTTTGATACAGGTCCTAGATAGGCCCGTAAGCCTTGCGTTGAGTGATACAATAGTCTATGAGCCTTCAGGAACGAGCCCGCCGTCCTGAGCACCACCCGCAAGCGTCCTCACCACACACACCAGCGTTCTGCGCACACTCGGGTGTGTATCGACGACACTCAGCGGTGTCCTGAACACACTCGGGTGTGTCTAACACACACGAGTCTGTGTCTAACACACTCGTGTGTGTGTCTCCAGGCCGCGACTTCCCGCGCGAAATCCGCAGCGGAGAACTTCGCGCTCTCGCTCGCGGCCATCTCGTCCAACATCACGTCCTCTCTCGCGGTCATCACGTCCAACGTCACGTCCTCGGTATATTTTAAAATCAATTTAGGGCTTGAACAGGAAGCGTTTGGGCGTACAAGTGTTTTTAATGCCATCTCGTCCAACATCACGTCCTCTCTCGGGGTCATCACGTACAACGTCACGTCCTCGGTGCGCGCTCTGCTCTATATTTTAAATCGATGCAGGGCTTGAAAAGGCAGCGATTGGGCGTACAAGTGTTTTTAATGCGCGAACCGACGCGGTTGGGGCCTCTCGCTTGCGGCGATCACCTCCAGCATCACGTCCTCGGCAAACCCTAAACCTGACACCCTACACCCTACACCCTTAACCCTAAACCCTAAACCCTAAACCCTAAACCCTAAACCCTAAACCCT